ACATTTTTATTTTATTTACTTATTTAATTACTTTTATTTTTAATCCGTCAACATATCTCTCTCATTTATCAATTCAATAGGTCACAAAAACAGTTTCATCTTTAACCAACAGCCGATGTAACAACTAGAAGATTCCATTCGTGTTCAAATCTCTCCTCTTTGTTCCTTCGTCTGTGTCAGAAGCATATGCTCCCTACGTCACTCTAGTGTCGTAAAATCACACGCATGCGCATTACATTCATCAATACGATTTCACCGTGGAAGGGAGCTTCTCAGCTCTCTCCCCAACCCAAACAGACAGTTTAACAGTCCCGCTGTAACTCCGTTTTCTCCTCATAGTAAAACAACATTTAACAGAGCTCACAAAGCATAGAACCTAAATTCTACACACACAAACATAATTTAAGAGGCTTTATTCCATCGCAATGGCCCTCTAAGGTCACATGTTAGCATGTAGCATGTAACACAATTAGCATTAGCATTTAGCCTTAGCATGTATGTACCATGTGGCGTGCAACAATGTAACAATGTAACCTGCATTGCCCTTTTTCTTTGTCTTATTCTCTACCTTTTATGATGCCGTGAGTTCAATGGATATCTACTGAGAGGTTCCCCCAAACAGATACCCCGTCGGATAGAAGATGAGCAGTAACCACAATCAAATATATTCCACCGCCTCGAGTTCCCCGAACTCACCTAATACACATCTAACGCGCAAAAGGATTTTCGGCCCATCCTGGATCGCCCCCCTGGGGTCTTTACAAGATTGCAATGCCCTAATTGTATACGTATATCTGCCTTGTATATCTGCCTTGTATATCTGCCTTGTATATCTGCCTTGTATATCTGCCTTATTCACTACCATCGATTGTTCTAGAATTCCTATTCAAGCCTATTCCTTCTCCTTTTGCGCCGTTCACCAATGCAACCAAAATTTTGAATAATTATTACAAACCCTTAGTCGACAGCAACAAAACCACATCAGCACACACCCAAGTAATTTACACGGTACACCTTTCCAATGCACATCATAAGCCAGCGAACCAACTAGCGCCCAAAATTTGTGAGGAATCTCACCTTATAGCCGGCTTGAGCGGGAGTCACTTCGCGGCTCACGAATGGAACAAAAGGAAGATGCAGACCGATCCCAGACGAGCCCCCATTTGTAGTATCGCGTCAATGCTGGTAATTATTGCTGTCAAACAAAGGAGTCCGCTTAGGCTGTACAGTGGGGAAAAAAAGTATTTAGTCAGCCACCAATTGTGCAAGTTCTCCCACTTAAAAAGATGAGAGAGGCCTGTAATTTTCATCATAGGTACACGTCAATTATGACAGACAAAATGAGAAAAAAAAATCCAGAAAATCACATTGTAAGATTTTTAATGAATTTATTAGCAAATTATGGTGGAAAATAAGTATTTGGTCACCTAAAACAAGCAAGATTTCTGGCTCTCACAGACCTGTAACTTCTTCTTTAAGAGGCTCCTCTGTCCTCCACTCGTTACCTGTATTAATGGCACCTGTTTGAACTTGTTATCAGTATAAAAGACACCTGTCCACAACCTCAAACAGTCACACTCCAAACTCCACTATGGCCAAGACCAAAGAGCTGTCAAAGGACACCAGAAACAAAATTGTAGACCTGCACCAGGCTGGGAAGACTGAATCTGCAATAGGTAAGCAGCTTGGTTTGAAGAAATCAACTGTGGGAGCAATTATTAGGAAATGGAAGACATACAAGACCACTGATAATCTCCCTCGATCTGGGGCTCCACGCAAGATCTCACCCCGTGGGGTCAAAATGATCACAAGAACGGTGAGCAAAAATCCCAGAACCACACGGGGGGACCTAGTGAATGACCTGCAGAGAGCTGGGACCAAAATAACAAAGCCTACCATCAGTAACACACTACGCCGCCAGGGACTCAAATCCTGCAGTGCCAGACGTGTCCCCCTGCTTAAGCCAGCACATGTCCAGGCCCGTCTGAAGTTTGCTAGAGTGCATTTGGATGATCCAGAAGAGGATTGGGAGAATGTCATATGGTTTTTTGGTAAAAACTCAACTCGTCGTGTTTGGAGGACAAAGAATGCTGAGTTGCATCCAAAGAACACCATACCTACTGTGAAGCATGGGGGTGGAAACATCATGCTTTGGGGCTGTTTTTCTGCAAAGGGACCAGGACGACTGATCCGTGTAAAGGAAAGAATGAATGGGGCCATGTATCGTGAGATTTTAAGTGAAAACCTCCTTCCATCAGCAAGGGCATTGAAGATGAAACGTGGCTGGGTCTTTCAGCATGACAATGATCCCAAACACACCGCCCGGGCAACGAAGAAGTAGCTTCGTAAGAAGCATTTCAAGGTCCTGGAGTGGCCTAGCCAGTCTCCAGATCTCAACCCCATAGAAAATCTTTGGAGGGAGTTGAAAGTCCGTGTTGCCCAGCGACAGCCCCAAAACATCACTGCTCTAGAGGAGATCTGCATGGAGGAATGGGCCAAAATACCAGCAACAGTGTGTGAAAACCTTGTGAAGACTTACAGAAAACGTTTGACCTGTGTCATTGCCAACAAAGGGTATATAACAAAGTATTGAGAAACTTTTGTTATTGACCAAATACTTATTTTCCACCATAATTTGCAAATAAATTCATAAAAAATCCTACAATGTGATTTTCTGGATTTTTTTTCTCATTTTGTCTGTCATAGTTGACGTGTACCTATGATGAAAATTACAGGCCTCTCTCATCTTTTTAAGTGGGAGAACTTGCACAATTGGTGGCTGACTAAATACTTTTTTTCCCCACTGTACTTTGATCATAAGGTTTATTCATATCACAAGATTCCAGCATAAGTTTTACAGATGTCATGATCACCCGGAGAGCGGCGTCCCAGATTGCAATGGCCGCTCTAACCTCTTCTTCGTTTTTACCCAGTATATTTAATCTTCCCAAGATATGGGTGGCTCCCTCTACTGTCCAATCCCCTGTCTACAACACACACTTCCTCTCTGTTGTATGTGGCGTCACACTAAAACATTCCCTCTTGACACTAAAATAAACATCCTCTCAGGTTCCACTTAAAACCATTAACAAAGTCATAATCTTCATATACTACAGTTTTAATTCAACAGTGCATTCGGAAAGTATTCAGACATCTCGACTTTTTCCGCATTTTGTTACGTTACAGCCTTATTCTAAAAGTGATTACATTTTTTTTCTCAATCTACACACAATACCCCATAATGACAAAGCAAAAACAGGTTTTTTGAAATTTTAGCAAATTTATTACAAATAAAAAAACATATCACATTTGCATAAGTATTCAGACCCTTTACTCAGTGCTTTGTTGAAGCACCTTTTGCAGCGATTACAGCATCGAGTCTGCTTGGGTATGACGCTATAAGCTTGGCACACCTGTATTTGGGGAGTTTCTCCCATTCTTCTCTGCAGATCCTCTCAAGCTCTGTCTGGTTGGATGGGGAGCATCGCTGCACAGCTATTTTCAGGTCTCTCCAGAGATGTTAGATCGGGTTCAAGTCCGGGCTCTGGCTGGGCCACTCAAGGACATTCAGAAACTTGTCCCGAAGCCACGCCTGTGTTGTCTTGGCTGTGTGCTTAGGGTCGTTGTCCTGTTGGAAGGTGTACGTTCGCCCCAGTCTGAGGTTCTGAGCGCTCTGGAGCAGGTTTTCATCAAGCATCTCTCTGTACTTTGCTCCATTCATCTTTCCCTCGATCCTGACTAGTCTCCCAGTCCCTGATGCTGCCACCACCATGCTTCACCGTAGGGATGGTGCCAGGTTTCCTCCAGACGTGACGCTTGGCATTCAGGCCAAAGAGTTCAATCTTGGTTTCATCAGAGTAATACAGATTACAGATTACTGAAAAATAAATGGGGAGAAGAAAAAGAGAGAACAACTGGGGAGGCATGAGAGGGAGAGGGTGAGGGAGAGGGTGAGGGTAGATGTAGCGTGTATCACAGTCACAAAGGCTTAACAGAGCGCCTGGCATCACGCAGGAGAACCATCGGGTGATTACAATCAGAATCCAGTCAGCACTGTCGTCTCTCTGTGTGTCTGTGTATGTCCAGTGGAATCACACACACACCAGCCCTGTGAGTGCACAGCAAGTGGAGGAGCTCTCTTCTCTTCAGGGTGATGGGAGTCAGTAACAGAAAGAAACCCACTTTAGCACTAAAGGACTAACAGACTAAACCAACAGACAGAGGAACAGACCAAACCAACAGACAGAGGAACAGACCAAACCAACAGACAGAGGAACAGACCAAACCAACAGACAGAGGAACAGAAAAAAACTACAGACAGAAGAACAGAAAAACCTTGAACCACAGACTAACGGAGGAACAGACTAAGAAGAACAGACCAAACCAACAGACAGAGGAACAGAGGAACAGACCAAACCAACAAACAGAGGAACAGAAAAACCCTGAACCACAGACTAACGAAGGAACAGACTCACAGATGAACAGACCAAACCAACAGACAGAGGAACAGAGGAACAGACCAAACCAACAGACAGAGGAACAGAAAAACCCTGAACCACAGACTAACGAAGGAACAGACTCACAGATGAACAGACCAAACCAACAGACAGAGGAACAGAAAAACCCTGAACCACAGACTAATGAAGGAACAGACTCACAGATGAACAGACCAAACCAACAGACAGAGGAACAGACCAAACCAACAGACAGAGGAACAGAAAAAAACTACAGACAGAGGAACAGAAAAACCCTGAACCACAGACTAACGGAGGAACAGACTCACAGATGAACAGACCAAACCAACAGACAGAGGAACAGATGAACCCCAGACCATGTCACACCTGCAACAGATCTGAACAGAGAGGATTTCTGCTTGGATTAACACTGCTACACACACACTCTCACACACACACACACTCCGCGTCTGACGGAGTCTCTGCTGCTGAGTGACTGTGTGCACCGGGGTGTGAAGTGAGGTCTGTGTGTCGGAAGACGGTGGTATGACGCGCGGGAAGAGCTGGCCGTGGAGTTGGTCGTTAATGCTGTCTCTCCTCCTCTCTCTGTTTGCTCACGGTAAGAACACTGCTGTGTGTCTGTGTGTCTGTGTGTTCACTATTTCACTACAAAAGTCTGGCAATGTGGGCTCAACAAATTATTTTATCAGAGTGTGTCGCTGACATTAGAATATAGTATGGAATGTTACTGTGTGTGTGTTACTGTACTGCTAGTGATGAACTCTGGCTCTGAGAGCTTCTTTATTGATCACCGATGTTGTTTAGCCAACGGGCCACCGCTGTCCCAGATCACACACAGTTGGAGTTGATCAGACAGTAGTGTAGAAGAGATAAGGAACTTGAACTGCATGAGTGAGTGTGTGTGTGTGTGTGTGTGTGTGTGTGTGTGTGTGTGTGCACACTGCGTATTGGAATGTGTGTGGACCCACCCAGCGAGGTCCATCTGCCCTGTAGCCCCAGAGAGCAACATTCTGTCACAATGTATCAGTGTCAACACACGCACACACACATTCATATTAAGTGTGTGTGTTAATGGCCAACCGGTGTAGCTACCCATAATCCCTTGCTCTCCTGCCAGGAGATGGTTGCTGGGACTGAGATCTGACCAATCACAGCCAAGCCAACCTGGTTACTGAAGCCAGAGCCCTGTTTCAAGGCTATAGATCTGTTACTATGGTGACAAACTGAATATTTAATGGCGTGTCGATACATTTCTCCTCTCCTATCGTCAGCGTCCCTGTCAGTAGATTGCTGTGAGTAGTTCTACATGGTCAATGTTTAACCTATAGCTGTAGCTGTCAAACCTAATCTAATCTGTGGTCAGTAGAGCATGTTAGAATTCCACACTGACACAGCTTCTTCTCCACAGTATAGAGGGAGAGAGAATGAGAGATGGGGGAGAAAGACAGAGAGGGGGAGAGAATGAGAGATGGAGTGAGAAAGACGGAGAGGGGGAGAGAGTGAGAGATGGAGTGAGAAAGACGGAGAGGGGGAGAGAATTGAGAGATGGAGTGAGAAAGACGGAGAGGGGGAGAGAATTGAGAGATGGAGTGAGAAAGACGGAGAGGGGGAGAGAATGAGAGATGGAGTGAGAAAGACGGAGAGGGGGAGAGAAAAGGAGAGATGGGGGAGAAAGATGGAGAGGGGGAGAGAATGAGAGATGGAGTGAGAAAGACGGAGAGGGGGAGAGAAAAGGAGAGATGGGGGAGAAAGATGAGAGAGCAGTTAATTGAGCACCTTGGCTTCCTGTCTTGCTAGCCTGTATTTTGAATGATCATGGCTACGTGGTGAATCAGATCCTTTGGTGTTGTCTGTCTCCTGTGTGTATACTGTATCTGTTTGTTGTTTCTGATTGACTTGACAGGAGAACTCTCATTGGCCACCGCCAGCAGGACTGAAGTCAAGCACAGCCAATCCTCTTTCTCTGCTGCAGAGAGGGCGGTGCTTAGCGGTGATGACTCAGCAGAGCTGATTGGCTTAGGGTTAGGACTTGGGGCTGGACTTCCTCTCAGCGTCACCAAGCGTGACCACTCTCACAGAAGACACTCCCACCTGGACTTTGCTGAAGAGGACATTCAGCCAATCAGAGAAGAGCTAACTGGCGGGGAATCTCCGGAACGCTCAGATGACATCATCAAAGTAGAGTTCCATAACACCGACCGTCCCCTGCCCCCTGACCGCTTGTCTGATTCTTTTTGGCTGATGGCTGTAGCTCAGCCCCTGCAGCAGCGGGCGGGAGACCCCACGGCCTGGACCCTCTCAGACTTCTATGACTACATGTCCCCCGACGACAACATTTCTGCCATAGAAATGACCCTTGACCCTGAGCCAACCCTGAACCCTCCAGCAGACATTGAGGATGAAAACCCATCGCTCACTGGCACCACTGTTACCCCCGGCAATGACGACCCCCAGCCCCCATCTCAGTCTCAACCCCCCCCACCTCCTTCCCCTTCTCAGGGGTCAGATGGGTGTGGTCTGGGCTTTGTGAGGCCAGAGGTCGGAGGTGAGTGTGTGTCTCAGTGTGATGCACAGCCTGACTTCTGCTACAACAGAGGAGTGTGTGCCATCGATACGGGGATAGGAGCATTCTGCAGGTAATTTAACACAATCCTCAGTGGGAGGAGATACAAATCTCTTCCTTTAGAGTTACAGTACGTGTGTGTATTGGTTGGAGGGGGTGGGGGGGGGGGGCACGCTTAGTTTGTACACTACAGAACAATATACAGCTGGTGTCTTTCTAACAAAGGACAGAATACAGGACAGATAGACCATAGAGTTAGAATTCTAGATACCCCACTGACCAGCCTGGTCTCATAGACTAGACGTAACATAGTAGATGTAAATCCGGGAAACTCAAATTAGTATGATACTGTATGTTACGTTTGGTATGGTTACATAAGACAGAAGGTTACTTAAGGCAAAAACGAAAATAGGGTGATTGGTCGGGGTGGATGGTTGGACAACGTTAGCATTTTAGCTAATTAGCAACTATATAGCTTGTTAGCTAACCCTAACCTTAACCCTTAACCCCTAACCCTAATCCCTAGCCTGGCTAATGTTAGCCACCTAGCTAATGTTACCGTTAGCCACCTAGCCAACTGCCAAAATCTCTAAAACGATGTTGGAGGAGGCTTATGGTAGAGAAATGAACATTATGTTATCTGGCAACAGCTCTGGTGGACATTCTTGCAGTCAACTGCACGCTCCCTCAAAACTTGAGACATCTGTGGCATTGTGTTGTGTGACAAAACTGCACATTTTAGAGTGGCTTTTTATAATAATAATAATAATATGCCATTTAGCAGACGCTTTTTATCCAAAGCGACTTACAGTCATGCGTGCATACATTTTTGTGTATGGGTAGTCCCGGGGATCGAACCCACTACCTTGGCGTTACAAGCGCCGTGCTCTACCAGCTGAGCTACAGGTGCTACAGGTGCTACAAGGTGCACCTGTGTAATGATCATGCTGTTTAATCAACTTCTTGATATGCCACACCTGTCAGGTGGATGGATTATCTTGGCAAATTAGAAATGCTCACTAACAGGGATGTAAACAAATTTGTGCACAACATTTTAGAGAAAAAAGCTTTTAGTGCATATAGAACATTTCTGGAATCTTTTTTTATTTCAGCTCATGAAACATGGAACCAACACTTTACATGTTGCGTTTATATTTTTGTTCAGTATAAATGCAGATAGTGAGGCAGTTTGTTCTACTGCCTGTCTGTCTATTCTATGTTTTAAAGATTCCCTCCCTCCCTCTCTCTATCCCCCTCCTCTCCCCATCTCTTCCTCTCTCTATCCCCCTCCTCTCTCATCCCCCTCCTCTCTCGCTCTATCCCCCGCTCTTCCTCTCTCTCTATCCCACTCCTCCCTCTCTCTCTCTCTCTCTCATCCCCCTCCTCTCTCGCTCTATCCCCCGCTCTTCCTCTCTCTATCCTGCTCCTCTCTCTCTTCCTCTCTTTATCCCCTCCTCACTCTCTCTCTTCCTGTCTCTATCCCCTCTCTCGCTCCGTCTCTTCTTCTCTCTCCCTCTCCTCTCTCATTTTGAAACTTTCTCCCTCCTTTCTCCCTAGGTGTAATGCTCAGGACTATATGTGGAATAAGGGCTCTCGTTGTGATTGGGTGGTGACAGTCTTCCAGGTGCTGTGTGTGGTAGTGGGCGTGGCCTCTCTGACCCTCATCCTACTCATCATCATCATTGTCTTCTTCGCCAAGCGACTCCACCGCTTCAGGATTGAGAACAGGCGACTCCGCAAACGCAGGTCAGTTTGTGTTGTGTGTATGTTAGAGAGAGACCTCATTTATTAAACGATCGTGGAGATGGACTCATATTTGAGAGTATAAATGGCTGTGTGCATGCCACGTTTGTCACGTCATTGAAAATCCATCTCTTCCCCTAACCCTCTTTTTTCCCCCACACATCTCTCCTCTCCTCCCTCCAATCCCTCTCTCCTCTCCTACCTCCCTCCAGTCTATACCGTCCACAAAGCGAGATGCAGACGGATGGCTTCTCTGTTTCCATGGCGCCAGACAGTTCCCATGCCAACGTAAGGAAGATGTGTGAACCCCCCCCCCCCCAACCAACCCCAACCCCACGCTCACAACCTGGCTTACAATGAGAACATTATCTGTCAGATAACTAACCCCTGACCCTTAACCCCTAACCCCTCAACCCCTAACCTTAAGCCCTAACTCTGGCTAGCTGTGTGTCAGTCTGTCTCTGTCCATTAGTCTGTTTGTCTGTAAAATCAGCCTGGTCTCATAGACTAGACGTAACATAGTAAATGTAAATCCGGGGACACTCAAATGAGTATGATATGTTATGTTTGGTATGATTACATAAGACAGAAGGTTACTTAAGGCAAAAACCAAAGTAGGGTGGTTGCTCTGGATGGATGGGTAGATGTATAACGCGAATGTCTAGCAACCCAAAGGTTGTTTGTGGACAACTTTAGCATTTTTGCTAATTAGCAACTTTGCAACTACTTACTACTTTGCAACTACTTAGCATGTTAGTTAACCTTTCTCCTAACCCTTTAACCTAACTCCTAACCTTAACCTTAACCCCAACCCAGCTAACGCTAGCCACCTAGCTAACGTTAGCCACCTAGCTAACGTTAGCCACAACAAATTGGAATCGTAACATACTATATGTTTTGCAAATTTGTAATGTCTCCTATATCTGCTGTTTCCATCACACATTTGTTTGTTTGTTGCGACATTGCTTTTGTCGAATAAACCTGGGTCAATGGAAACGTGCCTATTGTTTCAACTGGGGCCCTGAGTTTCCCGTGCCAATGAGTTCCCGTGTATTTGAGTTCCGTATTTCAGCCCCTTTGCAGTTAGCCTACTTTTTGAAGCGATTTGTTTGACAATCAGATGAAAACATGACTGGTTGTGTTCATGCCACATTAAGGTAATACATTTTTTACCTTTAAAATACATGTCTTTACTTAAGCCGATAAAAAAAATCTAAGTCTTGTGAAAGAAAATGATATAATTTGCGATCTGCTTGACCAGCGTCTTCCACCTCATGGTGAAACTTGAGTTGCACCGAATGATTTCTACCTCATGCACAAATTCTTGTTTTTACTATGACCAGAGAAAGTGTAATAGTCCTTAATATTAAAAGAGACACGAGCCACTAATAATAAAAACTCAGGCCTATCTGGGTCCCCCTGTAGCTCAGTTGGTAGAGCATGGCACTTGCAACCCCAGGGTTGTGGGTTCGTTTCCCACGGGGGGGCAGCATGAAAATGTCTGCACTCACTAACTGTAAGTCGCTCTGGAAAAGAGCGTCTGGTAAATGACGTAAATGTAAATGTATCTGTACACCACTCATTGCAGATACAGTGCTGGTTGTAGAGTGAGTCGAAGTAGGGAGAAGCGCGTTTCTTGGTTTATAAAAGTGTTCAATAAAAACACATTTGAAAGTGTTGAATAAAAACTTGAACACAAACTCACTCATTAAAACAGCAGCCCTTTTCTGTATTCTTTGACAATCGCTCATCGTTAGCTCAAGCCACTGCACATCTTGGATCCACTTTTCTCGAAAAAAGTATTTTCTTCGGCTTGCTCCAGTTGGCGTTCTTGTAGGTGGCGAAATGCAAAAGGCTGCTTATGTCCGTTGCTTTTTGGACATCCCTGAAGTATTGACAAGCAACATGTCATGTGTAAGGTTAGTAGAAGATCGGTCAAGTAACTGCAAAGGCGCGTATAACACAAAGTGGCATTAACGCATTCCTGATTTTTGTCGCTTGCGTATCTGCGTACCAGTTATTGTGCACCCCTGCATATAAGTCTTACGGTGCTTAAATCCATGGGTTATTTCCTAGTATCGATACAATGATTTATTACATTTTAAAACGATGTTAGATCGATATATGTTGTCCAAAAGGCCACTCGCCGCGCACAGATCGATGTATTGGATCAATGAATAAATCGATACATCGATGTAGTAGATGAATCGTTACACCCCTAATACATTGCATTCGGAAGGTATTCAGACCCCTTGACTTTTTCCACATTTTGTTACGTTACAGCTTTATTCTAAAATGTATTACATTAATTATTTTCCTCATCAATCTACACAAAACACCCCATAATGACAAAGAGAAAACAGGTTTTTAGAAATTGTTGCACATTTATTCAAAATTAAAACCAGATACCTTATTACCATAGTATTCAGACCCTTTGCTATGAGACTCGAAATTGAGCTCAGGTGCATCCTGTTCCATAATCATCCTTGAGATGTTTCTACAACTTGATTGGAGTCCACCTTGGTAAATTCAATTGATTGGACATGATTTGGAAAGGCACACACCTGTCTATATAAGGTCCCACAGTTGACATTGTATGTCAGAGCAAAAACCAAGCAATGAGGTTGAAAGAATTGTCCGTAGAGCTCTGAGACAGGATTGTGTGGCACAGATCTGGGGAAGGGTACCAAAAAATTTCTGCAGCATTGAAGGTCTGCACCATTCTTAAATGAAAGAAGTTTAGAACCACCAAGACTCTTCCTAGAGCTGGCTGCCCGGCCAAACTGAGCAATCGGGGGAGAAGGGTCTTGGTCAGGGAGGTGACCAAGAACCCGATGGTCACTCTGACAGAGCTCCAGAGTTCCTCTGTGGAGATGGGAGAACCTTCCAGAAGGACAACCATCTCTGCAGCACTCCACCAATCAGGCCTTTATGGTAGAGTGGGCAGACGGAAGCCACTCCACAGTAAAAGGCACATGACAGCCCATTAGAAACAAGATTCTCTGGTCTGATGAAGCCAAGATTGAACTCTTTGGCCTGAATGCCAAGCGTCACGTCTGGAGGAAACCTGCCACCATCCCTACGGTGAAGCATGGTGGTGGCAGCATCATGCTGTGGGGATGTTTTTCAGCGGCAGGGACAGGGAGACCAGTCAGGATCGAGGGAAATATGAACGGAGCAAAGTACAGAGAGATCCTTGATGAAAACCTGCTTAGGACCTCAGACTAGGCGAAGGTTCACCTTCCAACAGGACAACGACCCTAAGCACACAGCCAAGACAACACAGGAGTGGCTTCGGGACAAGTCTCTGAATGTCCTTGAGTGGCCCAGCCAGAGCCTGGAATTGAACCCGATCTAACATCTCTGGAGAGACCTGAAAATAGCTGTGCAGCGACGCTCCCCATCCAACCTGACAGAGCTTGAGAGGATCTGCAGAGAAGAATGGGAGAAACTCTCCAAATACAGGTGTGCCAAGCTTGTAGCTTCATACCCAAGAAGACTCAAGGCTGTAATCGCTGCCAAAGGTGCTTCAACAAAGTACTGAGTAAAGGGTCTGGATACTTATGTAAATGTTATATTTCCGTTTTTTTTTTTTTTACACGTTTGCAAAAATGCATAAAAACATGTTATGGGGTATTGTGTGTAGATTGATGAGAAACAAACACAATTTAATCCATTTTAGAATAAGGCTGTAACGTAATAAAATGTGGAACAAGTCAAAGGGTCTGAATACTTTCCGAATACACTGCATATTTAAAAAGACACACAAAATAGGTCTGTCGTGGCGTCCCCTCTGACTGGGTCTCCTCTGCCCAGTGCATCACGTTGGACACTGCTTCAGGCCCACAGCAGCCTCCCCATCTCCAGCTCCATACAGCAAACCAACATTGATTTACAGTAAGGGGGGCACCCAGCACATTAGTAGGGTTTATTGAATTTAGAGCGAATCCAAACGAACTCCTCTGACATTTAGGAATATGCAAACATTCACGCACATGTGCACATGTGTACACACATACACACACCACACACACACACACCACACACACACACACACACACACACACTTTGTAACTTGTACAGAATGGCTGGTCGATGCTAGCTAACCCATTTACTGTACTGTCCTCATGACCTTCATATGTCTGCCATCAGACAATCAATGTATGTGTATGCATGTGTGTGTATTGTTCCACAGAATGACCCTCAGAAAATGGAGGACCCTGTGAAGTCTCCGTTCACTCAAGGGGAGGAGTATCTGAACATCGCCAACTCTCATTCGCCGAAACATATGAACAACCACCCCGCCCACTCCTCTGACCACACCCCTAACACAAACGAGGAGGTAAATAGAGAGAAGGCAAACTCCTCCCCCTCCAACGACTTATACTAAATTATTATGATGATTACTGTAATACCACCATACACATAAGGGGCAACATAATACAATATACTATACAATAATATACTACACTTCACTATAATATACTGTAATATACAATAATATACTACACTTCACTATAATATATTATAATATACTATAATATACAATAATATACTACACTTCACTATAATACATTATAATATACTATAATATACGATACTATACTATAATATACTACACTTCACTATAATATAATATACTATAATATACAATACTATAATATACTATACTACACTTCACTATAATACACTATAATACACTATACTATGCTATACTATAATATATACTATACTATACTACACTTTACTATAATACGATACTATAATATACTATACTACGCCTCACTATAATACACTATACCACACTATACTATGCTATACTATAATATACTATACTACACTTTACTATAATATACTATACTATAATATACTACACTTCACTATAATACACTATACCACACTATATATCACAAATCCCAGAGGTGCCTTATTTCTATTATAAACTGATTACCAATGTAATAGAGCAGTAAAAATTAACGTTTTGTCATACCTGTGGTATACGGTCTGATATACCACGGCTGTCAGCCAATCAGCATTCAGCGCTCGAACCACCCAGTTTATAATATACTATAATATACTACACGTTACTATAATATACTATACTACACTTTATTATATTAATACTACACTATACTAGGATCCTGGAAAGGAACTGTTGAGGCCTTTGGCTCCACTAGGAGCTAAAAGGAATCAGCCAAATTATACTACTGTATACTATGCTATCCTATACTACAGTGATCATCAACTAGATTCAGCAGCGGGACGATTTTTTGATTGAGCGGATGATCTGGGGGCCAGGAACATACAGTGAGGGGAAAACAGTATTTGATCCCCTGCTGATTTTGTACGTTTGCCCACTGACAAAGACATGATCAGTCTATAATTTTAATGGTAGGTTTATTTTGAACAGTGAGAGACAGAATAACAACAAAAAAATCCAGAAAAACGCATGTCAAAAATGTTAAAAATTGATTTGCATTTAATGAGGGAAATAAGTATTTGACCCCTCTGCAAAACATGACTTAGTACTTGGTGGCAAACCCTTGTTGGCAATCACAGAGGTCAGACGTTTCTTGTAGTTGGCCACCAGTTTGCACACATCTCAGGAGGGATTTTTGTCCCACTCCTCTTTGCAGATCTTCTCCAAGTCATTAAGGTTTTGAGGCTGACGTTTGGCAACTCGAATCTTCAGCTCCCTCCACAGATTTTCTATGGGATTAAGGTCTGGAGACTGGCTAGGCCACTCCAGGACCTTAATGTGCTTCTTCTTGAGCCACTTCCTTTGTTGCCTTGGCTGTGTGTTTTGGGTCATTGTCATGCTGGAATACATTTTACATTTTAGTCATTTAGCAGACGCTCTTATCCAGAGCAATGTACAGTTAGTGAGTGCATACATTATTATTTTTTTATTTTATTTTTTTCATACTGGCCCCCCCGTGGGAATCTAACCCACAACCCTGGCGTTGCAAACGCCATGCTCTACCAACTGAGCTACATCCCTGCCTGCCATTCCCCTCACCTACCCTGGGCCAATTGTGCGCCGCCCCATTGGTCTCCCGGTCGCGGCCGGCTACGACAGAGGCCTGGATTCGAACCAGGATCTCTCATGGCACAGCTGGAATTAGACCAATGCGCCACCCATGGGTACCCATCCACTAACCAATTTTCAATGCCCTGGCTGAGGGAAGGAGGTTCTCACCCAGATTTGACGGTACATGGCCCCGTCCATCGTCCCTTTTGATGTGGTGAAGTTGTCCTGTCCCCTTAGCAGAAAACACCCCCAAAGCATAATGTTTCCACCTCCATGTTTGAACAGTGGGGATGGTTGTTCTTGGGGTCATAGGCAGCATTCCTCCTCCTCCAAACACGGCGAGTTGAGTTGATGCCAAAGAGCTCCATTTTGGTCCTCATCTGACCACAACACTTTCACCCAGTTTCTCCTCTGAATCATTCAGAAGTTCATTGGCAAACTTCAGACGGGCCTGTATATGTGCTTTCTTGAGCAGGTGGACCTTGCGGGCGCTGCAGGATTTCAGTCCTTCACGGCATAGTGTGTTACCAATTGTTTTCTTGGTGACTATGGTCCCAGCTTGCCTTGAGATCATTGACAAGATCCTCCCGTGTAGTTCTGGGCTGATTCCTCACTGTTCTCATGATCATTGCAACTCCACGAGGTGAGATCTTGCATGGAGCCCCAGGCCGAGGGAGATTGACAGTTCTTTTGTGTTTCTTCCATTTGTGAATAAATCGCACCAACTGTTGTCACCTTCTCACCAAACTGCTTGGCGATGGTCTTGTAGCCCATTCCCAGCCGTGTGTAGGTCTACAATCTTGTCCCTGACAATCCTTGGAGAGCTCTTTGGTCTTGGCCATGGTGTAAGTTTGGAATCTGATTGATTGATTGCTTCTGTGGACAGGTGTCTTTTATACAGGTACAAGCTGATATTAGGAGTCACTCCCTTTAAGAGTGTGCTCCTAATCTCAGCTCATTACCTTATAAAAGACAACCTGGGAGCCAGAAAACTTTCTGATTGAGAGGGGGTCAAATACTTATTCCCTAATTAAAATCCAAATCAATTATAACTTTTGACATTTGTTGTTATTCGTCTCTCATGTTCAAAAAACT